CTCAAGGCGTTGCTGCCTCAGCCACTGCATTCTACTGTTACTCTTTCAAGACAGACGCAGCTCCAAACAGTTAATTAGGTTGGCGTTATAGAAATCCCTTGCCAAGAGCCGGGGTTGCGGCTGCCAAGAACAAGGCCTTGCTAGGGACAGTGGGGCCCCTGCTAATGCTCATCAAATCGTAACAAAACTTTCATCGCTCTCAGGTCCAAATATTGCCCTGCGCGCCCTGTTCAGTCTACGTTCTTCCCTTAATGTAAGGGGCTTCAAAATTAATCAAAATTGCCGAAATTCTGAGGCTATGAAATTAACAGTTGATTTCAGATATCCTTGTTACGGTAAATGGGGAACTCTTGGCGATTATTCGTGTGTGTAAGGTAAAAGTAAAGGCAAAGTTGTCCTTGTGCTTAATTAATTAAGCACCACGCCATGAAGACGTATGGGTTACTGGAGGTACAGCTACACATTTCTTGACCTCGGCACTGGATGGAGGTGACTGGTCAGATTCACGTCCCAGCCGCTTTACTCCCGAGGATAGAGCCCCCGGTACCCATCGGAAGGGAGGCTAGGTGAGTCCCAAAGCCAGTCACGACTCTGTGGGGTAGAGAAAAATCTCTTGACCCTGCCGGGAATCGAACCCCATCATTCCAGCTGTACGGATTGAGCTAGTCAGGCTCAATTTTCTACGTTTGTACACAAATTAAAACCGAGAACACCGAAACTAAATACCGTGAAGAATCCTATCTTATACAATGGCTTGTAGTCCGTTGGAAGTCAACAGACGTTTCGGAGGAACTTGTCGCTTCAATTGGAGAAGAATTGCCGTTTTATTGTTATGATGCCTTATGGCGTGGGACGTTGTTCGTACATTTCAACGGCGAGATCTCGTTTATTCTTGTTAGACGTCACAAAAAAAAGAAAAGAATGAAAGACGCTGTTTCATGCTTGTATATTAGAGCAGCCAGCAGTTGCATACTGCGCTCTCGTGTGACGTCACACACAGCTGCTGTGTAAACTGACAACGCCTGTAACTAGGCAACGCTTTGTTGTTTCTGAACGACTGACTCTTTTGTTTGTAGAATGAGATGAGGACTGCCAGCCTGTTTGGACAGCCCTGAGGAGTGGCCAGCATGCGGGAAGAAGAGCTTGAGGTGGCCATCAAGGTGAGGTACACACTGGTTACTATATGTACCACCCCTGTCAAGAATCTGATTTCGATCCCTTGGTCGTCTAGCTCATAACCTAGTCACTAAGCTGGCTGAGCTATGGATTTAGCATCAGCCATGTACGTCCAGATGGGAGCCGGGATAGCTCAGTCGGTATAGCGACTGGCTACGGGCTGGACGACCGAGGGGTCGGAGTTCGAGTCCCGGTAGGGTTAAAAATTTTCTCTTCTCCAAGTCGTCTTCACCGGTTCTGGAGACCACTCAACCTATCTAATCGGTACCGGGGGTTCTTTCCCGGGGGTAAAGCGGCCAGGGCATGAAGCTGACCACTCACCTCCAACTAGGACCGAGGCCAAGAAAACGTGGATCTATACAACACTCCCCCATGCGTCTTCGTGGCGTAGTGCATAATTAGTTAAGCACAGGGACAATTTTATCTTTTTTACCTTACTTTTTTACCTTTACGTTTTCCGATCAAATTTCATTTCCTGCATGCGTGTTACATGTTCTTCCCATCCCATCCTCCTCGCCCCACAGCAGCTGTTTAGTTGCAGTTCAGATTTGCCTGTGTAAAGACAATGCTGGCGTTACTGCTGTCCGATCGCTGCTTCTTCACACAAACAGAGAACCGTACACGGAAGCGTTTAGCTACCTGTTCTTCATCTTTCCTTGAGAAAGTACGAGACAGCTTCTGTGGGTCCGTTCCCACACACAAGCGGCGTGAACTTGCCAACGCTGGCCCGGATACCGCCTTGCAGCCAGCAACCCATTTCGTTCTTAGCAAGTACAGGGGTTTCATGGCCTGTATTTTTCAAACCTTACGTGCCGCGAAAGGCGCGCATGTTGAAGCTGTTGAGCATTCTGCAGTATTGATTCTATATCTAACCAATTTTTTAGTTGCACTTTCATATTCAGTAAGGAGTTTTATTTTGTTATTTCTGATTTGAAAATTATAGGCCTCTGAAATCCCGACAGTAATTTAGAATCAACATGTGTGAAATAATAAGTGCAAAGTTGTCCCTGTGCTCAAATAATTAAGCACTAGGCCATTAAGGCGTATGGGGGAGTGGATGTATAGATCCACATTTGCTTGACCTCCACACTAGTTGGAAGTGAGTGGTCAGCTTCACGCCCCTGCCGCTTTACCACCGGGGAAAGAGCCCCCGGTACCCATTTGATAGGAGGCTGGGTAGAGCCCAGAGCCGGTCTGGACGTTGTGGAGAAGAGAACATTCTTGACCCTACCGGGTCTCGAACTCCGACCCCTCGGTCATCCAGCCCGTAGCGAGTCGCTATGCCGACTGAGCTGCAGAGGCTGAAGTCCACGGTCCGCTATGAATAAGCTGTACTAATGAGCAGCCTACAGTCTGCAATGTATCAGCGTGACGTCTGACTAGCCAGCTTTGTCCAGCGCAGTGTTCAGCCTCGTCGCTATGCGCGGTTTGGCTTCTTGCTTAGATTCCGGGGCAACTTTACCTACGGCGTCTGCAGAACAGGGTTTATACTCGAGCTGTGTGGATCAAAATCGGGAGTCGGAGTAGCTCATTCGGTACAGCGGTGAGCTACGGGGTTCCACTCCCGGCTTCATTTCTTCTCCACAGCGTCCAGACCGACCCTGGGGCCCACCCAGCCTCCTATCGAATGGGTACCAGGGATTATTTCCTGAGGGTTAAACCGACTGGAGCGTGAATATGATCACTCACCTTCATCTAGTGTCGAGGTCAAGAATGGTGGACTTATACATCCACTCCCCCTATACGCCTTCGTAGCATAGTATTTAAATAAGCACAGGGAAAAATTTACCACTTTTTTCCCCTTTATTCTCGATGAACCAAAATGAAATTAGCGCCACAACTTCTGGTCCTCGCACTCAACAACAAAATGTATTAACCCTCGTTCAGCCCTCATTTCGGTCACTTCAGGCATTTCCCGCAAAGGACCTAACTGATCCGGTCACGAATTCCATCATGGCACCGCGCGAAACAAATCACGTGCATAAGTGATCAGTTGACCCCTCCCATAACGTTAGAAGTTTGCTGATCTAGAGCCTGACACACGTGACTGATGTGTGGGCCGTAGTTTGCTTCACAGACGGGAGATCGCTAACATTCCAACATGATTCGAACATGAAAGGAAACCACTAAATGTTGTAATCTCCATCTTTATTGGTTTTCAAGGAGCAGACTAAACTATCTCATTTCTGATGCATTATTACCGGTAACTCCTTCTCACTCTGTGCTGAAGATCTTGCGAGCTTCGCGAAAATTCTGGGGATCACAGTTTGTTTTCTTCTCTTCAATCACTAGTTCCTTTGAAAGGTTTGTGTAATGTATTCGTTCTAAGGATATGGTTTATTTTCGATCTTCATTTATTATTTTCTTCATCAGGTTTCAAGCTTATAATGTGATGTACTCATTTCAAGAATACGGTTTCTTTTCGATCTTCATTACTCTTCCAGCTTCAAAGCAGTAGTTCCAAGAATACAGTTTCTTTTCTTTCTTCTTTTGTTATTTATTTTGGTAAGCTTTCAGCATCACAGCTTTTGTGCAAACCATGAACATGCTTCTCTCTGGTACATGTCGTACCTAACCGCATAAGAATGTAACCTTATTAATACTGGATAGAAAGGAGGTAAATGGTTTATGAATTACCAAGAAATCCTTGGTAGACGTTTCACAACACTATAGGTTGATCATAAGCGGCTGACATACTTCAACTACTGTACTTGCCTCTACAATCTTCTAGCAATGTTTTTGTTACGTAATACGATCATAAACGAGGAACACGATCAGGAAGGAAATGTCTTCTAGATTAAATATAACTTCATTAATCTTTCTGTTTTAATACCTTATGGTTCATAACAACTGCACATTTGATATTGTGGCATGCAGACCCGTTGCTACACAACGACCGCGAAATAAGCAGCTACAACAGTCGTTGCTAGGTAATGGCTCTATAAACGACAACGACGTGATGCAACAATAAAAAAACCGCTGGGAGAGGTGTCTTCTGTGCGATCCGTGCCGAGGCTACATAACGAGCAGCAGTTGCAATTATGCAACATTGGACAAGGCGAACTCCGACACAGGAAATATAGGCGGGGGTATGGCATTCTCTGCTGTACTGAGCCTGAACTGATAGAGGCCTTGTATATGTTGTATATACATACACTTAATAACATGTAAAATGTAAATTCTACGTACTGACAGTAGACTTATTACTGATGACTGTGACTCTGGCAAGCGAGAGACCCGTCCTCTCGTCAGAGAGAGCAGCCCACATCAACAAGCCTTCAACGGTCTGACAGTAATAAAAGTATGGTCTTAAGTCTCAGATGAGTGCTTTATTCCAAGATAGGCTGGCCGACTCACCGTCGGTCGTAACATAACTTTGACTCTGATTTACGAGAGTGTCTTGAGATGGCAGTGAGAAGAGAAGGGGGTTGGCGTGAGATGGCAGTGAGAAGAGAAGGGAGTTGGCGTGAGATGGCCGCCACAGTGGGAGGAATGAGTAAGTTGTGAGATAGTCGGCGGCCAGAAAGTACGTGAACACGGGAGCTGAGGAAGCTACGGCGTTGGAAGCCGTTACCAGGCGACAACCTGTGAAGATACATTACACTAAGAAGACTCAGTACATGCTGTAGTGAACTGCAAAGTAGTGAATTAGCGATAGCGCTATAGTTACTTGTAGCTACGTTCTGTAAGAACTCAATAAATCCAATTACCAATCCAAACCCTGTCTGTGGTCATACTCGCTCACGTGACAGTATGTTGTCAAATTACACTTCAATTCTGATTTGTTTTGTCACCGGACGTAAAGTGAGTCGGGGCGTGAAGCTGACTACTCACCTCTACCTCTTATCGAGATGAGGAGTGCGTATAATAAATAGAGTTGCGATAGCTCAGTTGGTAATGCTACGGACTGGAAGGCCCGGGTTCGATTCCCAGCATGAAGCTGATCGGAGCGATCTAGCGCCGACGTCAAGAATGATGGAGCTAGACTTCCACACCACAATGCTTCTTCATGGCGTAGCGCTTAACTGATTAAGGCCAGGGACAACTTTACTTTATCTTCCCTGTAAACTACAGCAGATACTACAACAGAAACATCTCAGCAACGTGCGCGACACAAAACGCGTGGGACATGAACAAAGCAACGGCATAACCGAACCCGCGATATAACAGTATTATAATAACACAGTGCGCATGCGCTGGTTGCAGATAGTGTTAATTATGCGGGAAGGTGAACCTGCCAGCAATAATCTCTCTGTCGTCATGTGTCATTTTCATTTAGGATCCTTATCAGAGGCGCTTCTTGAAACACGTATTTTGTATTTTATCAGTGGGCTTTCTTTTATTGCTAGTGGGGCGGGACTAAGTCCCTTGTACTGCGGACATTTCTGGCCTATTGCACCAGCCCCAGATGATAGGTGAGGGTGATTGTGGAGCAATTGGTGGAATGAAGATTGCCAGGGGAAACCGATGTACTCGGAGAAAACCTGCCCCAGCGCCACTTTGTCCACCACAGATCCCACTTGACCAGACCCGGGATCGAACTCGGGCCGCCGCGGTGGGAAGCCAGCGACTAACCGCTTGAGCTATGGCGCGGCCTTAAATCAGTGGGTTTATACTACATGCTATGATTTCGTTATTGCATTGTGGGTATGTGACGCGGAGCCTACAGTAAACTGCGCCTGAAACATTATCAGATAGTGACGTAAATCGTTGCGTCATCATTAGAATTCTACTAGATTCCATGTTAAATATACGATGAGATTGGTTTCCGCTCGCCAAACCGAAGTTCCCGTTGAACATACGCGACTCTTTTCCGTAAGGAAGCCTACTGAAGGTATGACGAACCCTCAAGAGATGATTTAGACGAGGAATAAGTTCTTAAGGACGTATTTTGCGTGTTTGCTGTGCGCTCAGCTACGGATAAATGTACCCAGTCATGTTCTATCAGATACGAAATAGGTCGAACTGTTGAAAGGATGAAGAGAATTATGTTCTGGGATATAACACCGTGTAGACGTTTTCGAGGAACACATCGCCTCCATCTTCAGGGTAAAAAAAATAAGCCGAGCAAGAAACCAGCTCTGCTTTTCACCTGTGTTCAGGCCCGACTTATTTTTCGACCCTGAAGATGGATGCCATAAATTTGATTTGTTTCATTCTGGCCCGTCACACCAACAATAACATAAGAGGTTAAACAGTTCCGTCCAGTGTGACTAGTAAAGACTGTTCTTATTTCAATCCTTCATCCCTTACATGATTCGGTCTTTACGGACCATCCTCAGAGGTAATAGTGGCTTCCGATTGTGTTGATGTCCCTCTGAGGATGGTCTGTAAAGACCGAAACATGTAAGGGATGAAGGATTTACTAGTCACACTGGAGAGAACTGTTTAAGCTCTTATGAGATGGATGCTGTACGTGTCTCCCAAACGTCGGTTGGCTGTGAATCTTTATATGCCAGAAGATAGAACCGCTGTGGGAACAAGATGTTTGCCTTGTTCGTGTTGCTGTAAGAGGGAACGGAGGAATGTGATCTGACAGCTGATCGTGTTCGCAGGTGGTGATCGTTGGGAACGGAGCCGTGGGCAAGTCCAGTATGATCCAGCGCTACTGCAAAGGCACCTTCACCAAAGACTACAAGAAGACAATCGGAGTGGACTTCCTGGAGAGGCAGATAGAGTGAGTGCATTTCAGTGTACAGCTCCTTTCACTTGTGCTTACAACTGGAAAGTGCCTTATCGTTTTTTTTTTGGCAGGATGTAAGTGTGGAAATAGTTCTTAGAGCAGTGGTTCTCAATCTTTGTGAGCCCGCGGCCCGGTAAATTCTATTTTCTGCAAGACGAGGGCCCGGGGGTTGAGAAACGCTGTCTTAGTGTGTTCATTATCTAATTATAACTCGTCATTTGTTTGAGTTTTTACTTAATCTCTTCTCATATACTTTTATTTAAGGTCTTTTAAGGATGACGTGAGTTCTGCAATTCTCCGCCCAGCTCAGTGACTATCAGCTTTTCTCCTTCCAGGAATTTTACGGCGATGTCAGTACATATACTACACAGCGCTGATTAATGAACTGAAAATGATTTGTAAGGAGGCAGTCTGACGTAATCACGGCACTGTTTCGGAATTTACTGGGGAGGGCTGAGGAAAACCACGAAAACATTAAAATTATCCGGTGTCCGGACTGAGATTCGAACGACTACCTCCGAAATATGAGTCTAAAGCGCTACCGGTACAGTAACCTGCTCGGAGGAGTTAGTCGTCAGCCTGCTGGGGCTATTGACTAAATGTATTTATGCTGTCAGTAGCTCAGCGGTAGGATCGTTAATGGATAATGAAAGGGAAGACGGTCGGGGCTTTGAGATGCCATATCGGCATTTGCTTGGAGGAACTCAGAAAAAAACGAGAAAACTCTGGGGGATCTGGTTTCACTTCCGAATACGACGCAGGGGTGCCACCCGCTCGGGACGCGACTTTCCGTATGATCACATAGGTTGACTCTAGAAGGTCGAATTGCCCCTGTGAATAAGCAACACGGCCGCATCCGGTCCTGCGTGTGCCGAAATGCCATCGCGTGCACATACTGCGTACATTCATGCAGAAGCCGGAGCGAGTGCAGGGCGCACTTCATATTCCCCGCGTTAAAGGCAAAGTTGTCCGTCCCGATGCTTAATTAAGCTTCACGCCTTGGAGGACACAATTCCTCCTTCTTCAGGGTTGAAGAAAAAGTCAAGCAAGAAGGAGGCGGCTTCTTGCGTGGCTCACATTTCAACCCTGAAGATGAAGGCAGTACGTTCCTGCGAAACATCAGTGACCTACCAGACTATGTAGAGCCTCACCCCAGAAAATAAGAATCTTAAGTCTCCATGAAAGTTCTGCAGTTCCGCTCTAATGTCAGCATTTACCGTGGTGTTGAAGAGTGTTGCCATGTTGCCATGTTGCCATGCTGCCATGTTGCCATGTTCGTTACTGTTGTCCTGCGCACAGCAGAGCTTAACAAGGCAGCATAAACGTTTCGTGTCTTCTCCAGGTTATCCTCTCCTTCTCCTTCTTTCTTTCCTCATGCTTCTACATCTCCTCTGCATTATCCTTTTCAATCCCGCTTTCTTTTCGTGCCTCCCCTCCTGCACTCCTCATTCTGCCCTTCTTCTTTTCCTTAGTTTCTTGGGCCCACTATTTGGCCTATTGTACCAGCCCCGGATGGTAGATGAGTATGGAGCATTTGATGGATTGAGAATTGGCAGGGGAAACCGAAGTACTCGGAGAAAACCTGCTCTAGTGCCGTTTTGTCCACCACAAATCCCACACGACCTGACTTGGACTCGAACTCGGGGCGCCGGGGTCGGAAGCTGGCGACTAGCGACCTGAGCTATGGCGCGGCCTTTCCTTCGCCTTACGTTTCCTCTTCTCTTCTGCCTTTCCGTTCTTCTTCGTGTCCTTCACCCTTTTCACTCCTGGGATCGTCAGTCCACCTCGGGACCGCCATGCACTCCTGTCTGTTGCCGCCGCCAATTTGATCGCTGTTGTCACGTGGGAAGTGCTCCTGCGGTCACGGGCCTGCGCGCGCGTCACTGTTCCGGCCGCGGACAGGAGTGGTGTGTGAGTGTGGGATTTCTTTTCATATTGGTTCAGGAAGGACCGCCTCTGTGGTCTAGTGGTCAGCGTTCCTGGCTACAGATCAAGAGGTCGGAGAAGTAGTGGGTCTGGAACGGGATCCACTCAGCCTCGTGATGATAATTGAGGAACTATTTCAAGGAAATGGCGGTTCCGGTCTAGGAAACCGAAATTAACGGCCGTGGGGATTCGCTGCGCTGACCACGCGACACCCACTATCCGCAAAAGTTGGCACTAAACTTCGCCGACAAGCGGCGGTCGCTCGGTCGGTATAGTTCGCTTGCGGACTAAAATCGCGGAGAATGGTTCAGGAAGAGACTGAACTCGGGCAATGTTTGCTACCATTCGGTCCAGAACATTTTGTCTTCTCGTCTGCTGTCTAAAAACATAGAAATTAGAATGTACGAAACTATAATTTTGCCTGTGGTTCTGTATGGATGTGAAATTTCGTTTCTGACATTAAGGAAGGAACACAGAGAACAGGGTGCTGAGGGGAACATTTGTTCCGAAGAGGGATGAAGTGACCGGAGGTTGGAGAAAACTGCTTAACGAGGAGCTTCATAACTTGTACCCTTCTCAAAGTATAATTATAATGATCAGGTCAAGCAGGATGAGATTGGCAGGGCATATAGCACGAATGGAGTAGAAGAGGAATGCATATAGGATATTTGTGGGAAGACCAGAAGGAAAGAGACCATTAGGAAGACGGAGACGTAGGTGGGAGGATAATATTAAAATTGGTCGAAGAGAAATAGGATAGGGTTGTGTGGAGTGGATTCAAGTGGCTCAGCATACAGACCAGTGGAGGGCTCTTGTGAACACGGTAATGAACATTCGGATTCCATAAAATTCGGAGAAATTCTTGAGTGGCTAAGCGACTGGCAGCTTCTCAAGAAGGGTTCGTAGTTAGCACCTGTCTGAACAGTTTATTTCCATATTGGTCAGTCCTAAGTCCGTAAAGGTTCCAGAAATGTTAAACAAATGCACAGATGAGCTCAGTTAAATTCAGATTTGCGACCCGGAAAACGACGGACCTGCGGCTGCTTACACTCTGCACTGTGCCAGAAATTCTAGGACATCTGGTCACAGTATACCAACCAGTGACATACAAATAAATTGCATGCGAACGTCGCGACTTCCTGCACCGATGAGTGTCCTTCTAACCTCGCACCTGTCATGCTGTCAACTTGACACTAGCGTTAGGGCCGAACAAGTTGGCGGACGAGTGACGGTTTGCTGCGCAGAGAGAGACAGAGTTTCTAAAGTCGCTTCATCTGACGAAAAACGCAACCATGTACGTGTATGCAATGACACATATGTAGAGACTTCGCCGTAAACCGGTTGTCAAATACTGCCCTAGCTTAACGAACATTTCGCCGTGCTTAACTAATTAACGAGACCGCCTCTGTGGTCTAGTGGTCAGAGTGGCTACAGATCCAGAGGTCACGGGTTCGATTCCCGGCGCTACCTGATTTTCTGAGAAGTATTGGGTCTGGAACGGGGTCCACTCAACCTCGTGAGGATAACTGAGGAGCTATTCCAAGGAAATAGCTGCTCCGGTCTAGAAAACCGAGATTAACGGCCGTGGGGATCCGTTGCGCTGAACACGTGACACCATCTATCCACAAAAGTTGGCACTAACTTCGCCGACAAGCGGCGGTCGCTCGGTCGGTATAGTTCGCTTGCGGATTACAAGCCACGGAGTTTTTTAATGAATTAAGAACTATGCCATGAAGATGTATGGGGGGTGAATGTATAGATCCAGATATTCCTGACCTCGACATTAGTCGGAGGTCAGTGGTCAGCTTGACGCTCCTGCCGCTTTACCGCCGAGGAAAGACCCCCCCCCCGTTACGCATTGGATATGAGGTTGGTTGAGCCTTGAACCGGTCTGGACGACGTGGAGAAGGACTTTGCCGCTACAGGGACTCGAAATCCGATCTCTCGGCCGTCCAGCCCGCAGCGAGCTGTTATAGCGACTGAGCTATCCTAGTTCCGGCAAAGCGTAATAGCCGCCAAGTAACCTTCGCAATTGATGCGGCGTGTTAAAGGAGCATGTAATCAAGTACTGAGGCTGCAGTGAATGGTCCGCTCGCGGGACATGCACTTACTGTAACGGGCATCCATCCATAAGCGGAGGTGAGGCTACATCTGGGCGGTTCATTGCCCCCCGAGGTACACTGAGTGGCGCTCAGTTGGGCCCAAAGCCCTTCTGGACTCGAGGCAGATATTAAGAAATGCGGTTCACATTGGGCCACGAAGGTAAAGTTGTCCCTGGGCTAATTAATGAAGTACCACGCCATATAGGCGTCTAGGGGAGTGGAGGTATAGCTACATCATCCTTTACATCGGTATTGAACGGAGGTGAGGGGTCAGATTTACGCCTCAGCCGCTTTACCCCCCGTTCCCATTGGAGAGGAGGCTGGGTGGGCCCCAGAGCCGGGCTGGACGCTGTACAGAACGGAGAAAATTGTCCCCTTGCCAGGAATCGAAACCCGGCCGTCGCTATAATGATTCCCGAACTAAGTCATGTAACTGGGTCTAATTAAGAACCGGCAGTTCCGGATGCCTGGAACCCACATGGGTCAGTTGCATGAGCAGTACTGGTAGCCACTCGAAAGTAACAATAACAAGCGACGTGATGTGCTACTAGGATTACGAGTCGTAAGGCCTGCTCTCTTCCAGCGTTACCTCCGTAGGCAGTGAAGTCCGAGATGAGGTAGCGAAATACTGTGACATGCAGGCCCAGTCCCAAGTAACAGCCGTTGTTAGGGAACAGCTCGGTGGAGACGTTTCCCCGGTAACGAGAGAACACGCAATAATGGAAGAGACGTTTTCTGTGCGGGAGCTATATAACCAGGACTAGTAGGGGTGGCGGGGTCGAATACCTCCACCGTGACCCTGCGAGTCGTAGGAGACAAAGAAAAAGTAACCCAGTGCCTGAGGATATAACTGGGCCCCACTGTTCCTAGGGGATATAAATACGGGGACCTGGCCCTCCAGGTTGGGGGACAGGGGTAATCTCGAGTCTGAGACCGTAAAATACGGTTATGAGTCCCGCGGGACTCGGATCCGAGAATGACTGCGCTGGCGAGGGCCAGCAGCAATTGTGAACGACAGACCCATCCTCTTGTCAGAGAGGATGTTACATAAGGACTATAACCGCAAGTGCGCGCTGTAGCGTAGTTGGTTGATGCACTATGCTACAAGCCGGAAGGTCGCTGGTTCGATTCCCGATGAGGTCATTGGATTTTCTCAGTCCTGCCTGCCGCATTATGGCCATATGGTTGACTCAGCCTCTAACAGAAATTAGTACCAGGAATTCTTCTGCGGGGTACAGAGCGGCCGGCGCGTAAGGCTGACAACCTATGAGGCGATTGTCTTAGAAGACGTGGGAGCCTCAATGTCTCACAACCCTATGGGCCTCCTCGGCCTGGTACAGGGATAGCTTTACCTTTACACTTGGGGGCTCCCGGTTTAAAATTTCGAACTATCAGTGCCACATTTTTCATGACACTATGATTTACTGGAAATTCAACAGTCTGCGTAATTTGTTTCCGAAAAACGTTCATGGGAATAATGTTTCCCGTCGGCCTGCAGTGCGATTGGTGCAGGACATGTAGCCATTACCCCACATGACTGACAGGGTGCGCACCAATCAATAACGTTATGTGTCGCGCCATAACCTCAGTGCCTTACAAGTAAGTTATTAATTGCACACCGCTGCAGTATATCTCGCCCAGCGCCCCACATCCCCTCCCTCCAGAATCGATGGTAGGGTCTTTCAAAACGCCCCTGCCTGTCCGTCGTGCGGGTCAATTATTTTGATTGATAAATTCCTTGTTCCTTAATGGAACTGTAGGTAAGGTAAAAAAAATTCCATGTAACAGGCCGTGGAGGCTCCCGGCTTACAGATGGTGGTGAGGTCAGCCTTACGCGCCGGCCGTCCTTTACTCCCAGCAAGATTTCTGGCACTCCTTTGTTTTTTTTTTATTGCTAGTGGGGTGGGACTAAGTTCCTTGTACTGCGGCCACTTCTGGCCTATTGTACTAGCCCCAGATGATAGGTGAGGGTGATTGTGGAGCAATTGGTGGAATGAAGATTGGCAGGGGAAACCGAAGTACTCGGAGAAAACCTGCCCCAGCGCCGCTTTGTGCACCACAAATCCCACTTGACCAGACCCGGGATCGAACCCGGGCCGCCGCGGTGGGAAGCCAGCGACTAACCGCTTGACCAATGGTGAGGCCTACTCATTTCTGTTAGAGGCAGAGTCGATCCCAGATGTGTTTGATGCGAATTATTTTACGGAGCTGTTTAACGACTGCAGATATACGGGTACAGCCTAGCATCGACTGAGATCAGAGGGCGAGGACTTGGAGAATTCGTCTCGACGTAAACAGGAGAATGACAAGATATGATGACCGTGGCCTACTTTGGGAAGCAAGGTCCTCAAGCGCACGAAGCAGAGACGTTAACCGCTGTACCACTCACGACTGCTACTGCTGTCAGTTGACACATTATGCGCGCTTAGGCATTCCTAGTGAATCAACTTATGTGGCACCTTGTGCCGGCTAGTAAATTGACTTTTAGGCAGGTGGTCAACGCAGCACAGAAACACCACTACATTACGTCGTAATGTGACTGAAAATCGATATGAATACGCACGAGTTCTCTGAATGCTACTGCGAACTTGGTTCCCCGAAGGTTCGACACCGCTAACACCAACACCCTCCACTTACATCCATAGCTCATGCGGCTACCGCGGGAGTCCGGGTTCCATTATGGGTCAGGACATGCGTGATTTATGCTGGACAAAGTGGCAGGTTTCCCCTACCAATTGTCATTCCACCGACTGCTCCACACTCATCGCCTATCATCCGGGACTGGTACAATAGGGCAAACACCCCAGGAATAAGATCCACCTTCACATTACTCGCCCATCTCCTTCTTGGTCCTCCAGGTAACTAACTTGACGAATCAGAGCCCTTCTTGAAAAGCTAATAGTCGCTTAGCTACTCAAGATATTTCTCGCCTTTCTTATAATCAGATAGTTCATTACAGTGTTCATAAGATCACGTGAGTGGACCCCTCTATGGGCCAAATGAACCCAATTCGCATCCTCTCACCGTATTCCTGAGATCCATTTCAATATCATTCTTACATCTACCACTAGGTCTTCCAAGTGCTCTTCTCTTCAGGCATTCCGAACAAAATTCTGTATGCATTTTCCACTTCTCCCGTGCACAAGACTATAAGGCAACAGGTTCGAAACTTGCGTACTTCACAGTGTTCTACAGGACATGCCTTGAAATGCTGCTACATATAGCTTCATACAGGCCATTGTCGTCCTTACAAGCGCGTCTTACTTTACCCTGTGCTGAGCCAGCTGCATGCAGTCCACGTCAGAATATCCTGTTTCTCTGAGATCCATTTTAGTATCATTACATCTACGGTTGGGTCTCCCTTATGTTCTCAGTTGAACAGCTGCCTCGGTCTTCGGTTAATCGGTTTGTTTGTTTGTTTGTCCGTTGAGTAGTTTGATCTTCAAGCAATGCGGCGACCGTAATTTGCCGACACGTATTAGCAAAGCATCTTCAGTCGTCTGTCAAAAATAAGACAAACTCCGTGGCTTTAGTCCGCAAGCGAACTATACCGACCGAGCGACCGTAGCTTGTCAGCGAAGTTAGTGCCAATTTTAGCAGATAGTGTGTGTCGCGTGGTCGGCGCAACGAATCCCCTAGGCCGTTCATTTCGGTTTTCTAGACCGGAGCCGCTATTTTTAAATAGCTCCTCAGTAATCCTCACAGGATGAGTGGACGCCGTTCCAGACCCACTACTTCTCAGAAAATGTGGTAGCGCCGGAGATCGAACCCGAACCTCTGGAGATGTAGCCAGTAACTCTGACCACTAGACCAGAGAGGCGGTCAGTCGTCTATCACACTCTATCCAAAATCAGTCGAAGGATTCAAAAGTTTAAAGATGTCACCAAGAGACTGAACGAACGCAGAGAATTGTTGTCATGACAGCATACAAAGAAATTCTAGCAGATGAAATGCTGGAACCTGGACATTCACCACGTAAATGGCTTTGTGGTGGTGCGGGTGGTAAAGCTGCGACATTGGGACGCGGCCGGTCCGCAAATTACATTCCTGCATGCTGCGCTCGTGTGCGCCTGCTTACGGCGAGCTACGTTTCCTCAACTTCTCGCATGATTTATGTTATATGCGGGGACAAACTGACCCTGGCAGTCAGTCAGAGGTCAGCTAAGAGTTCTGGATACCAGTCAGACCTGCTAGATTACATCTATTTTTAACTTCTTAATTGACCCTTTCTGTCGCTCTCGAGTATCTTTCCTAGTCTTTCTTTCATTTTTTTCCTTGGCACTACAGCCCCGGTGGGCCTAGGCCTGCCTCCATGAAATTCTCCGTTCACTTGGTTTTTCTAGATCTTACACATTCGGTAGGACTCCTCGGGCGGGTGATCAGCTCGTCGCAAGCCCTCTACCTGTACACAAACAGAGAAAATTGCGCACAAACATCCATGCCCTGAGTGGGATTCGAACCCACGATACCGGCTTCCGAGCGAGCGAAGACAGTGCATGCATTAGACCGCTCGGCTACCGTGACCGGCAACTTTACCTTTACCGTTCTAATTTATCGTTTTCCTCCCTCCTTTTGTTTGTATTCCATCTCATCCTTCCCCGTTTTCATCTTCTGTATTGTACACCATTCCTTCTCCCCCTGTTTATTATACAGTCCCGCTGTCTTCGTCACTTCCTTTCGGTCTCTCTTCTCTTGTTGTTTCTCCTCTCTCCTCGTCACCCTTTTCCCACTTTGTTCATGTTCCCTATTACCATCATCTTCTGTTTCTACTCCTTCAATTTGCTTCTCTTTTCACTCGTCTTCCCCCTTCACTCTCATTTTCATCCCTTGTACTGCGCGCCTGTTTTGCACCTTCCTGTACTGCGGGTCAGTATTCATGCCCCATGCCGTGCGCAGGCAACCTTGCGGGAAAAAGGTCATTCGAGTCCCATGAGGTTGGAATCTACACACGGTTCTAATGATGACGTCACCTCCGATGATGACGTACTCTCAAACACGTTTTAGATATACAGTAATGTTAATGGATTATGAACCGTTTAGTCTGGTAGGTACGGAGCCTGGATAATGAAGTCCACGTAGTCGGTATAGTGACTGGCTACGGGCTGGACGACCGAGGAGTCGGAGTTCGAGTCCCGGTGGGGTCAAGAATTTCCTCTTCACCACATCGTCCAGACCGGCTCTGGGGCTCAGCCCAGCCCCTTATCCAATGGGTACCGGGAGCTCTTTCCCCGGGGCGTGAAGGAACCACTCACCTCCATCCAGTGTCAAGGTCAAGAAAATGTGGATCTATAACTCCACTCCTCCATACGACTTCGTGGCGTAGTGCTTAATTAATTGACAACTTTGCCTTCGTCTGGTATGTAACTGTATAAATGTTTCGCATTAACATACTGCCCACATCTTAACTTCTAACCTGAGGATGGGGGCTGTATGTTCCTCCGAGACACTGGTAACTAACCACCTGTGAGGCGACACGGTGTCATAACAAGGGATACCACAACATGAATTCCATTTTCCTTCCACAATTTCTCGGACATCTCGGTCCAATCAAGTGCTGACTTAGGGCCGTACCATAGCTCAGGCGGCGGTCCGGGTTCGATCCCAGGTCAGATCATGTGGGACTTGTGGTGGACAAAGTGGCACTGGGGCAGGTTTCGGTCTCCTCTCATTCCACCAAATGCTCCATGTTCACCTATCACCCGGGGCTGGTGCAGTAGGCCAATTAGCGGCCGAAGTACCGAAGTACCACCCCACCCTAAGAATATATATGCTGTGCTGCAGGTTGGACGGAGAGGAGGTGCGTCTCATGCTGTGGGACACAGCGGGCCAGGAGGAGTTCGACGCCATCACCAAGGCGTACTACCGCGGCGCCCAGGCCTGCGTCTTGGCCTTCTCCACCACAGACAGGGACTCCTTCGAGGCGGCTCACTCTTGGAAGATGAAGGTACTAACAGATCCAGTCACGACAGAATATCAGGTCAGAAAACCGTGGGACGGCAGCAAGCCGAGCGCCGAAACACTTCAACTGTATCCTTTGGGTTGCTTCCCGTATGTCCTAGAAGGCTGTACAAGTAGTTTGGATGTAAGAAAAGAAAATGTGAGCCTCACTTAATGGGCGTTCCCTGTTTGCTGTGGCGAGTACAGATACAATTTGCATGGCACACCACGTGAGTCTGTCTGCTGAACCCGATGCATTACAATTAAAATAATCCGACACAAATAGCTAAACAAACTATCGCGGCACGCCCGTACAAGAAGAGCCATCTGCAGTCCAGTATCTGCACTACTTCGAGAGTAATTTCTCGACGTTTCGTAACCGTCAAATTATTCTCTGTTAAAATCACCTTACAGGTTGCGGGCGTCATCAGACACAAAGGTAGATAGTTTTGTCATCATCAGAAATTCATTAGATTCTCGTATTTTCAACATAAGGCGGGAATCGGAGCTGCGATCCCGCAGATAACATTGAAAACACGGACTTTGTGGCGATGATGAAACTTCGCGATCTGTAATGGCAGTGAGGAGCCTACAGGCCTGAGCGGGACAGCAATGTAGAAGACACGATGATACAGCCTAACGACGCCCACAAAGTAGCAACGTTGATAAAATCAGCTGGTCCCTACTGCAGTAAACAGCTCCACATCACTGCCATCTGTCGATGTTTGCATGTAGCAGCCGTGATTGTAGGGGCGTGGTTTATACTTAACAAATCGCAGGAATCTATTCCCCCCACCCCCGCCCGATAAACTATACCTGGCACTCATTCGGTTATTTCTGCTAAGAGAAAACGCGTGAACTTACAACGCCTAACGCTTCAGGTCCGGGGTAACACTTTCCATTTGCTGGGCGATTTAACTGCGACCCTGTCTTACCTCGAAACATCTGACATGTCGGGAACTATGGATTCCTTGTCTGTTTACTGATGTTAGTGACACACGGCCTATGCCATGGACGCCGCAAAGACTTTTCTGTGTTTGAGGGGAGCGACTGTGTTTTAAACCTTTGTGAATATTTCCACGGAGTATCCTTTGTATTCAGGATAGAAAGAATATATTTTTTAATACGTGCAACTTCTGATGTAAATATTTCCTTCTTTTTAAAATTGTGTTTTTCCCCCAGATATCTTGGGAGGGGAACATATGTTTCTTCCGCCTCCCCCCTGCCGGTACCTATGGCCTCAACCAAAAATCAGGCGAAGGAGAGGCGCTTTAGGCACGAAACACAGTTTTGCTTATATGCGTGATGTATGTAGTCTGCTTCTGTATTCTCACAGGCGTCACTTGCAGTCATGTTGGTGTGGGCAGATAGAAAGAAAACACACACAGAAAGTAATAATTAACATGGGGCACGCGGTAGCATAGTTGGTTGAGGCACTATGCCACAAGCCGGAAGGTCGCGGGTTAGAGTCCCGATGAGGTGGATTTTTTCAATTTACCTAATCCTTCCAGTCGCACTATGGCCCTTGGGTCGACTCATCCTGTAACAGAAATGAGTACCAGGAATCTTCCTGGGGTTAAAGGGCGGCCGGCGCGTAAGGCTGACAACATCATCATTTGTGAGCAGATTGTCTAAACAAAATGTGGGAGCCTCGACGTTTCACAACCCTATGGGCCTTCACGGCCTGTTACAAGAATAGCTATCTTTCTTTTTTACCTAAACAGTAGCTTTTAAGAATTGGTGATTTAAAATACGAAACTTGTATTTCGTTTTAATTTGTCTGATTTTATAATTAGGAGACTACCGCCGTTCCCTGGTCGCTAAAAATGTATAATAACCTGTTTAGCCATGTATTATGTTCTTTTAGCTTTCTTCTGTAGATNAAACTTGTATTTCGTTTTAATTTGTCTGATTTTATAATTAGGAGACCACTACCGCTGTTCCCTGGTCGCTAAAAATGTATAATAACCTGTTTAGCCATATATTATGTTCCTTCAGCTTTCTTCTGTAGAATAAGCTTCGTAACACATAGGTCTACATATAGCCTAGTGTCTCATTTGGGCGCGCTTTCTAAATGACGTCATACTGTTAACCTTTTTTAAGCATCGTGTAAGTTATTTCTTTAGGCCTCTAGTTATAAGCTCGGTAGCTTCCAGCAACTACAATTACTAAACTCTGTACACTATAATGTTTAGTACGATCAGAAAGTAATGCTGTTAAACTGTATAAATGAACTGTTGTAACTCACCAACTGCAACATTACGATTTCTTTCCAAGTCAAACTGGTACCTACTGCTGTCACACAATATAGTAATGAAGTGAACGTAATTACAATTTGTCATTCTTCGTTTCGGTTTAAAATTAAAATGACACAAATGCAACATCGCACACTATCGTATTTTCTTATTCAATGAAAGTAAAATGACAAAATCTTTAGTAATTCACGATTACAGGATACTTTTTCTGTAAAATTACCGAACAGTAGCACACACCTCAAATGTAGCGGTTATCACGCAAGATGGCAGCAGCTGGACAGACAAGCCGTTATCTTGACGAGAAGAAATTTCCCTCGCTTTGTAATAATAATGGTGAAGATTACCATGAAGAACTTTTAGAGTACAAATATAATGTGATCCAACGACAGGAACTTATAAAGTAAAATACTCAGGAATCTCTGTTATCGCCAGAATGTTGCTTCTGAATTTAAGTACATCAGAAACTAATTCTTGAAAATTAATGTATTCTGTTGGCGGCGCTGGGATCAAGGCGCCATTCCAAAAGTACCGGGAATTCAAAATGAGTACATAGTTATGATCAATTCGTTTAGCAAAATTCCTTAATTTTTTAACTTTAGTAGTCTGTACTTTTGATCCACAGCGTCCCTTGTTTTTCACTTTTAATATTGAGAACTAAATAATTATAGGTTAGAATATAAAATTCAAGACTGATATTACACATGTGCATACACTAAAATGCAGACACCTAACTTTAATTATTTGCATAGAAGCATTGGATTTGCTGGAAGCTCCCCATGCTAAGAATGGAATAACTGTAGGACAGTGAAGTAGGTCTACTAAAGCATGTGTTATAATAGGCTTATGAACTTTGGACCTAACATGGCGTTTTGAGTATGAGAAAATGAAATTCTAGCAACTCAAAGAGTTCATGAAACCAAGCTAATCTTGCTGCCTAGAATATTCATTATGAAGGTAATGGTACAGTTCTATATTACATTGAGCTTAATTTTGAAATAGTTCTAGTTTGTTTTCAGAGCAGAATATAATGATTGCATGACTCTCTTTTGTTTACAAACTTTCATGATTCCTGTCTGCCCCCTATTCAGGGTGGGTGGGACAGAGGGATGTAGTTTGATGTCTCATGTTCATTGTAGGATAGATCTTCACCCAGTAATTTATACAATTTGTTTTCTGTCTCATATGGCAGGTGGAGGATGAATGTGGTGAAATTCCTACAGTCCTAGTGCAGAATAAGATAGACTTGTTGGACCAGAGCGTTGTGGATCCGTAAGTAGTGCTTGAATAAGCAAATTATTACTTAAAATAATCAAGGAAATTCTGTTTTGCCCACTTACTAGTCATCATTTCATCCAGCAATTCTCAGGCAATAATACTCTATATTTGCATCTATGCTGATTTGGATGTTCCGAAAGATAAATGGACCTTAGTTATTGAACACACAAGAAATATTTTGTACTCCTGTTATATTAACACATGTATTTGCATGTTCCCTTCTGGGATTTTATGTGCTGGGCCAACCATATTTTCTCAAAAACTGGGTTTTGAACCTGCTACATTTGAAATAGAAGTGAAAGAGAAGTGAGAAACAGCTGACAGACATTAAATGATGCAAATATTTGTGGTTGAATGAGTTACACGAAGTCTATCTTCGTTAATATGGCAGTATATGGGAAAATTATGTTTATGTACACAGTGACAAGAGCCCATCACATGATAGGTTCAGAAGCAGCATGCAGAAAATTTCAACTCATCAGCTGACAAGATTGCAAGGAAATGTATTAAGAAAAAAGTAACTTCAGACTGGAATGAAATGTAATAAGATTTTAAATCTGTTTGATTCTGAATCTTAATGTTTCTCATGACATTAGCAGTGGGCCACACTTTGTTGTCCCGGTTAGTTAAATTAATTTGAGTGAGAACATTCTGCCCTCCATGGGTGAGCAATGAATTACCTCTCTAGTAACAGATCACAAATCCAATTACTGGACATGATCCTGAGCCAATTCCGTACACTCCCATCCTCATAACCTCTTTTCCTATGACCAATGTTGTTATCTCACATGTCCATAACCTTCCAAGTGGCCATTTCCTATGACATTTCCACACCAAGATTTTGTATGCATTCCTTTTCCTTTTTTCTGTAACCTATATAATGAAATTTGTTTTCACTGAATTTTTAAAATTATTCACTGTCTCCTGTCACCCCTAAAGTGTAATTAAAAGTATGTTACTATGTTTAATTATTATCTGGAGTAGTGATAAAGAATTATAATCCTGCAGTGAGGAGGCAGACTTGCTGGCAAGGGCGCTTGGCTGCAGGCTACTGCGGACATCAGTCAAGGAGGACATCAATGTGAACGCTGTGTTCCGTCACCTAGCGGCCTGCTGCCTAGCAGAACTGCGCCTCCAAGAGGAGGAATATGCTCTCTCGGGGGCCAGCAATGGAATCCCCCCACTTACTATCAGTAAGTTTAGCACATTATGTGGCATCAAAGTCACAGTGGGGAAGTCAGCACTTAAACTGACTTAAAGTGGACTGAGTTGCACCAATTATTTTAGCTCTTAACCAGATTAAGCAAAGTAAAAACTTAACTTAAACCTAACTATGGTAATAACATACTCATCTTAATCTGCTGCTGAGGTCAAGAATGGTGGAGCTAAACCTTCATTGCTTTATACCTCTTCATGGCATATGCTTAGGTAATTATTAATTGGAAAGGATGTGAAAGGAAGCAATCATGGCCTAACTTAAAGTACAGTTCTGGCATTTGCTGGAGGAAATTTGGAATCCATGAAGAACCCCAATCAAAATATTTGGTGCTCCAGCCAAGATTTGAACCAGGATACCTCCTGAAGGTTATATCACCAGACTTCTTCACACAGCATTACTAATACAATTGCCCATCTTTTTAATCCCTCACTTTAAACTGCATGCTACATGAGTTGTTGAAAATACTTAAATAACCAAGAAATGAGACTAACTGAAAAGGACATGGCAGTCAGACAGAATGCAACAGTGGTGTTCATATCTCACTGTGTCCAACAGTTAGGCTCAGTTTTATTACACAAACACAACTAACACAACAGAAGCACCATAATACTGTCTGCTTTTCGACAAAGACTCTGTATTGCAGAGCATCTTGCTGGTGTCTTGCTTGGCTTTCTCTTCATTCCTGAAGATGGAGGCAGCACAGCTCTCTAAAATATTAGTGAACTTCTACTGGACTGCATAGCATTACATAGTAGTATTTGTAGTCACTACAGTGAGGACCTCAAATCCAACACCTTTCATTTTGTTTCAGGTGCCTTCAGCCCTAGTATGCAGAATGGCAAATCCCATCATGGAAATGGAACCATCATCTTGCGACCTGGTAAACAGAAGAGTCACAAGAAGAAAAATGTTCTTAGGAATGCATGCAGAATATTATGATACACCCAGTGAAAACAGATACTCACCTGAAGTCATAGTGCTGCTGTATGTTTGAGTGCCTGAGTAAACAATCAGTACTTGGCTTGAAGTAGCACGTTTCCAAGGATATTACAAGCTCTGAAGTACAATATTCCTGAGGATACTAAACGTCTGACATGTGATAGTGTCATAGAACTCACAGTGTCCTGTCAGTTTCGTTTGCCCTTTACCATGAAAGTATCTGCATATTCAAACCTGTTCTTCAGCATTTCAGTGAACACAAGCTATGATGCCTGTTCAAATGAAACCTGTTCAGGGACTGTTCTAGGTGAAAGGGTAAGTGCTCATGGCCAATGAGGAAGGCACTCCATTTATACATCACCTCGACAAGGAACTCGCTATAACGGGCGATGGAATACTGAACCACAGCAGATGTGATATCTTCACCTTATCTGAAGTGCATTTCTTGAGTGGGCCAAATAACAGGTCTGGGCTGCCTGAGGGATGTCCAGCACCATCGAGTGCATGAAGTGTAGCATATTCTGGACAGTGAGGGTCACACTGACACAGGTGTTGTCATAAAACACAGTGACACTCCTAGTAAGCACTCAGGGCACTTTCCCTCAGTGACAGTGCGACTGCTGTTAGGTGATGATATTGTCTACATCAATGGTCCATGTGTTTGGTCACAGATGTCAAGGCTGTGGCGATATGCCAGTTCCAACAACCCAGTGAGTCCTTTGCAGTTTGTGCATCAGTAGGATATGTCCCTCAGTGCCCGTAGGGGCTATGTGTAACAGCCTCTACTCCTTTGTGCAGAACAGTCACTGAACAGGTTTCATGAGAACAACCCTCACATGATGGCCATGGGATCTCCGCCCTTTTGGCGGTAAGCAACATTCACAGCTATGATATTATTAACAGATAGAAACCAGTGTCATCCACTTACTGACTAAATAACAGATATTGTATATCTATATGGAAACTTTGTGATAATTTTGAGGCATTTATTTTGAAATCTTAGGATTCATTTTATACATTTTGAGCTGTACTAGGATATTAATGACTTAAGAAATAAAATTGATCAAAATATGTAAGTATGTCTTAAAGCATCTACTGTGAATGTATTAATTGTTTATATTAATTAAGCCTTTATTGTGCTGTTTAACCTTTTATAGAATCAGTGGTAGCTATACTTACCACCTGCTGTAAGATTAAAGAATTTTTCATTTTTTTGTCAACAGAATTAGCCAGTCATTGTAACTGAGAAGTAATGTCCTCTGTGAGGTTGGAACTGAATTTTTAAATATTATTTAGACACAATTCATACTTCAAATTATTAAATTTGCTGTGCTCTGTACAGACTTGTTCATGAACTCCTCCAGGGTTCATTAACATAGTTCATCTTCTTAATCGCAGATGACAGTACAGAGAGAACATCAATGGAGTTTTATGAATAAATTTGATCAATGTTACAAATACATATTCATGTTATTAAGGAATGTTAGTAACAATGTTACATTATTGAATTGTGGATGTATCTTTGTTGGATGAATTTTAATATTACTGGAGTTATGTTCGTGGTAACGAATGACTTTATAATGGATATCCAAATCATATAATGATCTATACAGCATGTCCCAACATTTTGATACTTGCACAAATTATATTTTATAAGTTTTCAGGTTTTCATGACATTTATGGTTCAGATTGTAATATTCTGGTTGCAACACTGTATAGTCTTTGGAAAGGATAGCAATATTTTGGCGGAGTGCATTAACCCGACTCTCAGGGTTGAAATAGAGTTCATCTCCGAAGATGGGGGCAGCACATTCCTCTGGAATGTTGCTATCCACCTGCAGGCGTACATGGTGTCATGATCCAGAAATCCCGCTATTAAAGAATGATATTTTCTTGACAAAATGCTATGAAATAAATTAGGAAGGCGTCAAAAGAAAACAAAATGTGGAACATCAGCCCAGAAGAATGAAGACATGAGGACCTCTTAGTACGAAAAGAAACTGTTCTTGATACCTGTAACAGTTGAATTTGCAAGTCTGTTGATGGGCTAAACTATGAGAAACCCATTGATGATTATTTGTTACTCTGTAAGACCAGGCTCTTTCAATAAGAGAACTGCAGATTCATTTTGGTTTTTAGTAACCCCATCTCTAGTATGCGTGGTACATCTTGCAGTAGAAACATTGGATCTTGTTTGGATTAATTTTGTGTTTGAGAAGATCAGTGAAAGAAATTTAATACACTGTCTCTTAACACTTAAATTTAACTCAATGTGGATTTTCAACAACATAAATTATACATTGCATGGAAACGTGTTGATAAATAACAATTTTAAATAAAAACTGGAATGGATGATATTGGAGGGGCAAAGAGTTTGAAGAAACCTTGAATTTCATCCCTAGAGAATATTTTTAAAATACCTGAGATACCTGGATTCTAGTTAATGTCATATTTAACATTCTGTTCTTATAACAGTCTTACTGGATTATGAATGGGCAATAGAAGTACATATAATCATCCCAGGTTTAAGAATATTCATAACTGAAGAAATGCTTAACAATTCATACAGTTATATGTACATAAATTAACTACTTACAAAATGAATAGCATGTTTCTTCATGTATATATGCTCTCTTGCCAGACAAAACACTCTCCAGAGTTAAATCAGTGAGCCAACTGGTATTTTGAAATGTACATTTTATATTTTTACTTTTGAATAAAGGTGGTTTTGTTCTGTTTGTATTATTGAGAGTTAATCATCTTTAATTAAACATTCTATTGCATTTTGTGAATAAAATTTATTTGTAACGACCTTGCTGAAGCCTTGTGTTTTTACTTAACTGGAAAAACAAAACAACGTTGAAGAGTTCTATCTTCTTGGCTATTATGCCATGTAATGTGTTGAAAGTAACCGACGTTTTGGGGTAACATATCTTTCCACCTTCAGGGTTGAAGAATAAGCCAAGTAAGGGACCAGCTTTGAGTTTCTCACAGTGCTCTACACTGCGCAACTTTCTCCTGGGGTGTGGCGCCAAGTAGTTTGGTAGACAGGTAACCACCAATTCAGAGGAATGTGTGACCTTGAAAATGGAGGCTGCTAGTTCTTCTGAATTGTGTGTCTACCAAACTGCACGGCATTAGATCCCGCAAGTCTGATAACCTTAATTCTGTTAATATTTATAAATCAGTGTTAAGGTCACTAAAAGTTCCCTCTGTTCAGTATTACCGTCCAATATTTCATAAAGGTGAGGTAAAGTTATCCCTCTGCTTTACTAATTAAGCATTACGCCATGAAGGCGCATGCGGATTGGATGTATAGATCATACCAATCCCAATTACCACAGTCTATTCGAAAGACTTTTTTGGATTATCTTCCCACTGCTATCGGTCCCACCAGTAGACGCTCCAAAATAGCATTCATAAAAAATTAGGGATCCTTAGAAAAAATCATAAAAAGACGTTAGTTTTTCTTATATAGATATTCGATTTATGAGGTCTAAGTACCACTGAACCATGTATATGGTTATTACAAATGATTTCTACCGCTCTCAACCATTATTACATAAGCATTTGGTAACAATTACAAAAAGAAATTACAAGCAACGAACATCTTTCCGATAGAGTTGACATAATTTCGAATTCGGCTACTAGGTGTCGTGTCACTGCAATGGAACGGCCGGAACTTTTAAAACATGCTGACACCTGGTGGCTAGGGCTGAAGTTACGTCGACTCTCCCGACATTTTTCAGATTTATTGAGTTCTTACGTTTTTACGGCGCTAATAATGAAGAGTGTGGTATTTCGGTTTGTAACGCCGTGTACCTCTAAGAGAGTGCTACGCTTCAGAGGAATATTTTGCTTCCATCTTCAAGACAGAAGCAAGAAACCAGAAACGTCAGGGTATCTCCGAACTATATGTCACTGCAATGCAGACGACCGTATTTGTTTTAGAACTTCCCTTATTATCTGCTTTCATTTGCAGTAAATATTTGAAAGTGTAAAGATCACTTGTAATGGCCCTGTACTTTCCACACAGCGATGGACCCTCTGCCGTTAATCGCTCTGAGGTGATGAAACTGCCCACCAGGAATTACAAATTCCTCAAGTTGACGAGTTCTAGCTTTTGGGATATATCGCTGGGTAGTCCGTTGAAAGTCAGTCGACGTTTCGAAGGAACATGTCGCCCCATCTTCAGGATCAAAGTATAAGCCAAGCAGTGAACCACATTGAAGCAGATAGCAAGCAGAGCTTGCCCAAATTCCCGATTATATGAGGGAAATGGAAGACAGGAAGTCAGTTCCCATTGGTTCGCCCGTAGGTCAGAATGAACCACCAGTACTCATTGGCTATCACAGAAACAAAGCGAGAAATAGAGTAGGCTTAAACTTGGCGGCGGTCAATCATACAACCGTTCAAGTGACTAGACTGCCGTTGTAGTAGGAGCTACTAATGATAGGGCATAATCTGCTGTACTGAGCCTGGACTGACAGAGGCCTTGTATATATTCTATACACAAACAGTTAATAACATGTAAAATGTAAATAATTTTACGATGTACGTACTGACAATTGAGTTAATGTTGTTGACTGTGACTCTGAAAACGACAGACACGTCCTCTCGTCAGAGAGGGCTCCCCATGTGGGCAGGACAGTAACTTTCAAACAGCCTCAGATGGGGCTCGACACCAAAACAGACAGACTGACTGACCGTCAGTTGCAATGTGACTTTGACTTGAAACAAAGTGAACCAGCATGGCCCTGGAAAGGGACGGTTATGCTGGCCTAGAAGTCAGGGGAGACGTGGTAAGAGTGTTGTGGGCAGAAACCTAAGGTTGTGACTGGGCCCTAGGCACGCCGTGGAGGATGGAGGCGCGGAAGTAGTGAAAGAAGACAGGACAGTGGAGGTTTAGGGCTGATGAGCGCTCGGAGAGGGCAGATTTGGTGCCCCAATAAGAGCAGTGTGCACGGACCTACGTGGTCCACAGAGAACCCAGCTCTACAGTCCTATGATGGAGGCTTCCTACGGTCTTCGAGGGAGCCTATGAGATGTTTCTTTCACTTATTTGGACAGAAGCCATCCATCCTAACGGGGGAAAATTTCATAACGACCGCAGTGATAACCTCAAATCCTCGAATCGACGTTCATGGCCATTCTTAAAATACACAAGGGAGCCACAGCGAGGTCACGTGTCTTGCGTCGGACCCTTTTCCTTCTAGGATAATCCATAATCCACACTTGTGGTCACGGAGTCGCCTGTAAACAAGTGCAGAGTCTGACCAATATGGATTAACGTTTGGGTGAAGAAATCTCACTGCAATGTGTCGGGAGAGTTCGTGGAGCTACGGACTCCTACGTAAAGGTGAAGTGGGGTGTTGCATGAGTGGTTTATCATGTCTGCAGTAGAGCGCTCTGAGATTCGTCTCTCTGTCCTAATTCTACAGAATTTGTCACTAGAATTGGAGGCTGAGGTGTATGCCAATCATAATTTACTGCAGCCACCTTCTCACGCTGGTTCTTCCCTGAAGATGGAGGCGATACTTCTCTCCGAAACGTCAGTTCATAAAAGATCTACACGGTGCCACATCCCAGAAAACGGCATTCTTCTTGATTCTGATTGGTTTTAAGTATTGATTCATGTACCCTGAAAGTTGATTTTGGAACTTAAATTTAGTTCCTGTTGGTTCGTTATACGAACTCAACTTTGCGTGATGCTGAAATCCTGCGTAACCTTATCACGGCTCTGTGTAACAGCTGATCACACAACTATCAGTACACAAGATAATACAAGGCCGCTCATTTGGAGGTCACGGGGGTCGCACGTGATCTGCATGGTGTTCTGTTCGGCCCACGAAGTATTTTTCAGTTCCCGCAAAACGAACTAACTCTTTCCTTTTCTTTGAAAATGAAGTCGGCGAGTCTTTTTCAAAAAAAAAAAAACTTTACGAAAAGCGCCCACTAAATCATCCGCGTATATTTTTCAACTGATTTCACAGGAACCTAAATAAATAGCATAAATACTAATCTATCGAACTTCCTGTGACTGATTTTGAAGCACCGTCGACTTGAAAACAATCAATTTAAATATGTTTTGAACAATGCGAGGCCTATAGCTATTCGTGCACTCATGTCTCACATATCAGACAATTGAAGGTCAGATGTCTGTACCAGCAGATTGGGGGGAATAATATATATTGTGGCATGTATACCCGTTGCTAAGCAACGGTCATGAAATAAGCAACGGCTAGTGAAGACCTAGTTGTGTTCTATAGTAATTTGTGAAATGTGTAGAACAGTGACAGCATAATCCTTAACTGTAGTATCGAGTTTTAAGAGTTAAATCGAGCCGATTAGGAATCCAAGCCCCGTCTATTCTCACTTATACACGTGATTATATATATATATATATAGCTTTTTATAACACTGCCCGCTAGTCAAGCCAAGCATCTGGCCCCTCCCATGTTTTTTTTCTAAAAATATAAGAATTGTTAAACCAGGGAAATAAATAAAACATAAATAAACAATTATAATTATTTTAACCTACTTTCCTTATTTCGGGAAAAAATAAAAGTAGACTTATGAGATCATCTTGCTGTTGCGTGTCTGTGTACCCCACAAACTTTTGAATGCTTGAACCAATCTTTACGAAAATTGGTATCTATATCATGCCACCTTAGTCCATCCCATCAGTCTGCTAAATACGTTCCCACGGCAATGACTGAACAAGCAACAATAGAAGAACTGAAGGTGTCGTTTTATGTGCGATCCGTGCAGTATCAAAGGACAGTCTGTGGGTCTGTCTGTGCAACTCATTACCACTGCTGGGAAACGGCTCGGTAAACACGTTGGAACGGCAACGAAGAACTGTTGGAAGTGTCGTTTTCTATACGGTCCGTGTAGTATCAAATGAAAATAGGCGCTTAGTTGTTTCCAGAACTTCCTGTTTAAGTATATTCTTCTGTTCTCAGTGCGAGGGCCCATCCGAAGATCTTCTTAAGCAGCTTAAACGTAAGTTTACAAGGCAATTGTCTTGCTCCCCCCTCCCCCCGAAAATGTTCCTGGCGACATCCATGTGTACTTTTCAGCCGTTGCTGGAATGTAGCCCATAATATCGATGCAGACCATGAGGGATGTGGGAACTACGGCAGGCGGCTGAGTGTGGGGCCCCCTCGTTATGTTGCAGACCCTTCCCCACGTCACGTGACGCAGGCACAGCCCCCCTGCTTTTTTCTCGGGCGGGCATTCAGTCGCGAGTGGATGTTACAGTCGTTAAGCAGGTGAGAGGAGAGATCTGTGTGGTGAGCGATCCAGCGGGTCGTGATCAACAATTCGCATTCTTTGCAGCTGTTGCCCAGAACAACTCAAGTAAGGAAAACTTTCAAAAAATTCTGTGTTTCTACGTGACTTTTAAATTCAAGGAAAGAAAACTCTCTGATTATTTTGTGTTTCTACATGTCTTTCAACTCAAGTAAGGAAAACTTCTGGTTATTTTGTGTTTCTATGTGCCTTTCCAACAGAAATAAGAAAAATGCCTCTTTCTTTTATTTTCGTATAATATAATTCATCATGTCTTGGATTCTCAAATGGCTATATTGCTTTTTGTAGTTTCCTCTCTGATTGTTACCTTAAAATGGGCAATGATTTCTTCCCCCCCAGAACATATTTATCACACGACTCGTCCTTCTCCTGCAACATAACCTATGCAGTTGATGGATCACAGTCGAATAACCCCTTACGAAAATTGC